ATCCACTTGTGACTGCAGGTCCTTTCCTCAGAAGCAGACTGTGTTCTGGGGATGGTGGTACCTCTGTTCTCCACCCATATAGGAAAGTCACCCCTTTCTGAGTGTTAGTACTAAGCATCTTATCTCAGATACAGGTGGGCTGCAGACCTCCCTAGAGGTGTAGTACACATCACAGGATTTCACCACTTTGTTCAAGGGTTCCTATTCTGTAATATTCCATATTACAGAACTATCTGTAATCTCTCCTTTACTCTCATGAAAACAGCAAAGGTGAAGTAGCTGTCTTCCAGAATCCAAAAACAGGCGACGTGGTTCTTCAAGATTTGTTCTCATGGCTAGGCCTTGGATTAGGTGATCTTTATCCCAGGGCATTTTTCAAGGACTTTCTGTCTTAAAATATAAGATATTAAAAATTCTGACTTATATGATAATTTAATACATAATCACTAAATGCCAGGCTCTCCCCATCAAGCCCATATGGTTTTCTGTTCTTTCCCCTTCTCCAAATGAGTCACAAGGGTTTCAAACAACCTGTCCATAGACTCAAGACCAAATATTGACAGCCAGCCCTGGAAGATCTCTCTTTAAAGTCCCCACTATAATAAGTAAGTTATCCTAATAACATAGGATCATTGACTGATCTATTCCAGCTAAATCTGAATTTTTTGGGAGAGGGGGATTGTGGAAGAAAAGACATACCATTTAGGAACATCTTTGTGACTAAAGTGGCAACCTCATTCTTTCCTTTTGGACAAGCTTTCCAGCCAGTCATCTGTAAAAACCACAAACCAGGCTGCAAGAACTTGCTTGGTTAAACAAGCTGGTGATGCACTGAACTGTTGACTCTCCCATTATATGGCCCAGAATTAAGTCCAGTAATTGCCTTTCCCCACTGGTCCAGTGAATTGCCCCAGAATGCCACTTGTTGGTGTTTAATCTAAACTCTGCCCTAGAGACAGCTATATTACCAAGTATTGTTTTCTGAGGAAGCTGAAATAGCTTCCCTTGAGTAGACTTCTTAACATGCTAATAAACTTTTCTCTTTATTTTGGCTCAGCTTTTTTGACCTTCACCCTGCTCCTCTGCCTTTTTTGACTTCCTCCCCAGTGGGTGAGGTTTTCCCAGAGCCCTCCCTAATGTAAAAATTCCTCAACCATGATCATCTTTGGAGAGGGTTTGTAGTTAGGATGGGAAGGGTGTAAAAGGAAGAGATCGAGGATGAAAGGGAATTTTAACTATGCAGGAAGTCAGGAAAACAGAGCTCATAGAAGAATTGTACAAAGGGTAAAGGGCCTGAATGAGATGAGATTATCAGGAAGACAGATTTTTGCTTAGATAGGTGGTGGTTCTGTTTTATTATTATTTCTTATCTATAAATAACAGGAATCAGAGGATCCAGAGATTGAGATTTGAGAGGACCAAGCATTATAAAATAATTCACCCCAAGGTTTTCCTTTATCAGAATGTAAGCTCCTTGAAGGCACGAAATGGTTTTTGCCTTTCTGTATGTCCTCGTGTGCCTAGCTCAGTGCCTGGCACAGGGTAAAGCTTACTAAGTGCTTGCTGATGAATTAGAATGTTGGTGTGAGACAGCCTTCCAACCTCATCCCTTAGGTGGTTCCAGATGGCTTGCAGCTGAGAAAGGCTGTATAGTAGTGTGCCAGGAGGCCAGGGAATAATCATTTTGTAAAACTGAATTAAAAGCACACTTTATCTTCCTGCCATTTGTACTTATTTTGATATTAAAAAATTATAGTGAAGTAATTTTGAACGCCTCAAACTATGAACGACAGAAGCAAAGTAGTGAAATGGAGTTTATTTGGCTATGAACCTAAGCTAAGTGGCATAGTGGATAGAGCACCAGGCCTGGAGTCAGGAAGACCTGAGTTCAAATCCAGCCTCAGACACTTACTAGCTGTGTGATCCTGAGCAACTCACTTATCCCTATTTGCTTCAGTTTCCTCTTCTGTAAAATGAGCTGGAGAAGAATATGATAAACCACTCCAGTATCTTTGCCAAGAAAATCTCCAGAAGGGGGTCACAAAGAGTTGCATGTGGCTGAAAACAACTGAACAACAACAAAATGTCATCTTGGTTCTCCGTAATGCTAGGACTGCTAAAGTTTGCTGAGCTCAATGTATAACGAGATGTATCTGAAAAAGCACCCAATATTGTTTATTCTGTTCCGACAGATATTTCTTTGCTGCAGCTAATTTTCTGGACCATATGTAACTTTTTTTAGCAGATGTTTCTCAGAATAAGAAGTTTTGTTTTTTTTTAATTCCTGTGTATCCCTGTGTACTTTGCTAATGTAGCCAAATAGAACATTTCCTTCATTTCATTTTCTTGCATAAAAAAGCCATACAGTAAAATATAATTGAGCTCATACACATGTACTCTGTGTGCACCCCCCTTGTTTGCAGGTTAAAAATCTGTCAATTTGAGTGACTTTGTCTTGGAGTTGTGTCATTTAATGCAATATTATAACAAGTGGAAATAATCATTATTGTTTTCTCCTCAGTGCAGTCAGTTGAGCTTTGCTGTTATAGATATCTGTGCTTTTCTGTTGATGAACACAGGCCATATTTATAGGGTTTTGCTACTAGGAATGTTGTGACCTGCTCCACATCTCTCCACCAGCATCTCTCTACATGTTCAGACAGGCATAAAATAACACAGGCTGGTGAGCAACCATGGTGTTTTTTCAGCTTGTGACTCTCAATCTTTTGTAACCGTGTATTTTTTTTTGGTAACGCTGACAGACTTGACACACTTAGATGCTATTCACTGAAATAATGGAATTTTCAGAACATTTAGATGGTTCGTGGGACAATGGAATAGAATATTTTAAATCAGACATATGGTTGCCATACCTGTGTGAGATGGAGGAGTGAGTTACTATCTTTGTTTAGGTGATCAAGTAATTAGTTCCCTGCCCAAGGCTTATTAGGAAAGCCTGTCCTCACCACTGCCACCTCCACTCCCTTCTTAAAAGTGTTTCTTCCAAGAAATAAGGTAAGTAGGATGGAAGGCAGCTGATGGCTCAGTGGATAAATACGCCCTGTTTACAATTTTTCATCCACTCTTATTTGGAAGAGTCTTGGGTCCAGTCCAACCTGAGCAAACATTAGCCCTGCATCATCCATAACAAGTGATTCTGCAGCATTTGTTTGGAAAGCATCAGTCTACCACCTGAGACTACTCATCCATTCTGGGAAAACTAATTATTCTCCTAAATCTGTCTCTTGGCAGTTTCTACCTATTACTGCTAGTTTATACCATTGACTCCAAACTAAGTCAAATCTCTCTTCCAAATGAAGTATCACTCCAAATGATATTAATAGTGAGATTTTAGTTAAGTTAATAAGCATTTGTTAAGTACCACCTAAGTACTTGGGATGAAGAGAAAGGCAAAAGGCTTCATAGGATAGTTTGAGAGTATTCTTAACTTATCACCTTTATTTCACAGTTTTCATCTAGATAATTTTTACTAGATTTTCTTATATATGCATTTATTATTGAGAAGGTATAGCTGATGGGACTACATATAATTATTTTTTCTAATTGTATAAAATAGCCCACTGGTATTGCATTAATCTATAAATTAATTTAGGATTGCCATTTTTATTCTTACTTGTGTATCTATATCAGCATATTTAATTAGACCACTGTTCCTTTAGAGAAGAGAAGTTAGCAAATTAATGAACTGGGATTTCATTTACACTTCTTTTGTCAAGGATAATTATTTATTTTAAGCAAGTTGGTCAGCCTTGATTAAGGCCATTAGTGTCCGCGATTAAATAAAATCATTTTTAATCTTTTTGCAAGTCAGTCTGATTTTCACAATGTTTTATGGTCCACATCTGGAACCCAAGCTCAGCTGAGACTTAGAAATGCTAATTCTGTAACCAAGGTACAAGGCTTTAAACTAACAGATAATTAGTCTTAATATTGTAAGTTTAAACAGAATTAGTTTACGAATGTCTCTTTCTTAATAAAGACATTAACTGGGTGTTTGGTTTTGAGCCTAATAATAACAATACCATATTTACATAGAACTTTAAAGTACAAAGTACCTTCCTTTAACATAACATTTCACATATGTACAATATGCCACCTGGCATGTGTCTTTCTCCATACTTTGTTGAGGTTTTGCAATCCTGGTTTATTTTCAGCTTTCCATATTCCTTTACTTTTAAAGGAATTCAGCCTGTCTTTAAGTTAAGAGGTCATCTTGAAGGAAATCTTTGTTTTCTCTGTGTGTGTGTTTTTTAACCTCCCATAGATGATTAGAATAGAAATTGTGCCCGATCCTGAAATACAAAGTAGAATGTTTTCTTAGAATGTACCGGTCTCTTTTTTCTTTTTTTTTTTTTATTACTAAAACTTAAAAAAGGGAAAAAACATAAACTTAAATATTGAAACTTAAATACAAAGTAAGAAAAAAAAAAGCATGTCGTGCACATGAGAGAAGATTCAGAATATATAGCAATAAATTTCCATTTCAAGAAAACCTATATAATAAATACTAGAAGCCTGTTTTTATGTCATTTACATTTCCCAACATACATGCCTCCCTACTAGAGAGCCAGGCCTCATAACAAAGAATGAAAAAGATTAAAAAAAAATAGGTCAGCAAAATGAACCAGCACAGAAAATATCTGATGTTATACAGAGTGTTTCATACTCATATTCCCCCACATCTTCAAAGATATGTTCCTTTTCATCTTTTCTTTGGGGCCAACCTTTGGGCATTACCATTTTGTGTCCTGAACCCCTTAGACACTCTGGTGAAGCCAATGGGCTCATTGCTTACATTCATAATTAAAGAAAAACTAAATTTCAGTTATAGGTTAGTGAAAATAAAGAAGTGATTTTCCCCCATAAACCCCTTAAAAATCTGTCCCTGATCGCTAGGTTAAGAACCCCTGTATTTAGAGAGTTGCATTTTCCCTAACGTATACAGTGTAGGTCCAGAGACGTGATACGTACGTTGTTCATGGAGGACAGAGAAGGTAAGGCAGTTGTGTACCGTGCTGCCTTCTACTGGTTATTGCCTCCGACAGTAAAATGATGCTGGAAACATTTGCCTTCCTCTAATGCATAAAAGGGAATGAGCAATGCTTCTCTAGCAGACAGTAACTTAAGTCTACATTTCTTCTTTTTTTTTAACTTAATAGTATTTTATTTTTTTTTCCAATTAGATGCAAAGATAGTTTTCAGCATTCACCTTTGTAAGATTTTGAGCTCCAAATTTTTCTGCCTCCCTTCCCTCCCCAAGACAGCAAGCAATCTGATATAGGTTATACATGTGCAATCATGTTAAACATATTTCCACATTAGTCATGTTGTGAAAGAAGACTCTGAACAGAAGGGGAAAACCACAAGAAAGAAAAACCAAAAGAAAGTGAAAATAGCATGCTTCGATCTGCATTCAGTCTCCATAGTTCTTTCTCTGGATATGGTCAGCATTTTCCATTACCAGTTTGGGTCTCCATTTCTAACTAGACTAAAGAGCTCTTTTGGCAAACCTCAAAGCATCAAGTGGTATGAGTGGTTCTTGGGTCTTGAAAAGCTTTTCAGGTGCTTGTTAGTGGAAATCCGTGGTATATAAAATATGAGCTATTTCCAAGGACGTCAGAGGTCTTCTAGAGATTTACAGTACAGGGTTACCTTCCCATCCCCCAACCCCTTTCCCCAGAAATTACCTTGGTGCTTAGGTGCTAAACTTGGAGACAAACCTGGGTTCAGATCCTTATATTGGTGCCTTCTTCAGAACTGCTTTTATGTACTTAAAATCCTTTTTTAAAGACATTTCTTTTAATGTAAATAGTAGTTATTTTTTCAATTACATGTAAAGACAATTTTCAGATTCATTTTTATAAGATTTTGAGTTCCAAATTTTTCTCCCTCCCCCCCAAGATGGAAAGCAATCTGATATAGGTTATATTTACGCAATCATGTAAAACATATTTCCGCATTAGTCACGTTGTGAAAGAAGAAACGTAACTAAAGGAAAAAAAAAACATGAAAAAACAAAGAAAATGAAGATAGTATGCTTTGATCTGCATTCAGACTCCAGTTCTTTTTCTGGATGTGGATGGAATTTTTCATCATGAGTCTTTTGGAATTGTCTTAGATCATTGCATTGCTGAGAAGAGCCAAATCGGTTATAGTTGATCATTGCACTATGTTGCTGTTACTACTGTATACAATGTTCTCCTGGTTCTGCTCACTTCACTCAGCATCAGTTCATGTAAGTCCAGGTTTTTCTGAATTCTGCCTGCTCATCATTTCTTATAGCACAATATTATTCCATTACATTCATATACCACAACTTCTTCAGCCATTTCCCAATCGACGGGCATCCCCACAACTTCAGTTCTTTGCCACCACAAAAAGAGCTGCTATAAATATTTTTGTACATGTAAGTCCCTTTCCCTTTTTTATGATCTTTTAGAGACAATTTGTGGCATAGGATGGAGAGCTGTCTTAGAGACCAGGAAGCCCCAGGAAGCATCTGAAGAATGCTGACTGTGTGACCTTAAGCAAGTCACTTAATTTCTCAGGACATTAGGCAGTCAAGACTATACATTTCAAGAAAGGTACCATCCCACATTGGTAATCCAAGTTTCCTCTCTGGGAGCTCTCTATATCAATGAAATCTCAGGACCAGTCTCTATTCCTATTCTTTTAGTTAATTTCTTTTATTTTATGGTATTTGTGAATGTAAAGGTCTTATCTCTCCTACCAGATAGTAGGCTCATCAAGAGTGGGGACCCTTTTTATTAATCTTTGTATCTCTACTACCATCTAACACTGTGCGTTGCACCTAAGTGCACAGATGCTCAGTAGACAGTTTATTGGAGCTATAGGTCCTTATATAGATCTCTAAGCCCATTACTGCTATCTGGTTTGCCAGTCTTCATAGTACGGAGGGAAACACAGCTAGCATTGGCATCCTATTTCCCAGAATAGCCACTTTACAGTTAGCATCTCTCCTCTGACCATCCAGCAATTTGCCTCCAAGACTTTGGGAGAAATGAAAAGTAGTTCTCATAAAAATGGAACCCCTGATGCAAAATAGGAAAAACACTGTTCCAAAGCAGCAACTTTTGTTGCCTTTGAACTCTAGTATAAAATATTGATTGTTTTTATAAATATTTGTAATATTTCTACTCCCTACCAGGTATGTGCCATTGTATGGAAGTGTGGGGTGGCAATTCTGGAAATAAACCATTTGGGGTTCTAAGGAATGAGAGGAGATGACAGCCTCTCAGAAATTCCTTTGGCATTTAGTGAAGGAAGTCACAGAATTTAAAAGCCCCATTCACTGGCAGCTAGCTTCTCTCTAGGACACTTTAATGCACTTTGGATGGGAGATCTAAGAGCTGGAGGGAACCTTAGAGATCATTTAGTCCAACTTCTACATTTTACCAAGGAGGAAACTGAATCCCACAGAGATTAATTGACTTGCCTAAGGTCACATAGATTAGTAAAAGAGCCAGAATTTGAACTCAGGCCTGACTCCAAAACTGTGGCTTTTATTTTGTGGATAGATGATACTTTACTAGGTAATTCAGCATAAATGTGTTTGAATTACTATAGCGTAACTATAGTGTAAGAGGTTGAGAGTCCAGAGTTGAAAGCTTACAGTATTATATATTTAGTTTGAACTCAGTATACTGCTTTTACAGTATGAGTTAATTATATTATAGCAGCCCTAATGGCAAACAGCTTGAAACTAAAGGGGTATATATTAGCTGGGAAATGGCTGAACACGTTATGATATACAAATAGGATACTGTGTCATAAGAAATGATGAAGGGAATGGTTTCAGAGAAATCTGGGAGGACTAATAGGAACCAATACAGAGTGAAGTGAGCAGAACCAAGAAAACAATTTATACAATAATCCCAACATTTTAAAGAAAAATAACTTTGAAAGACAAGGAACTCTGATCAGTTCCATGAACAGCCATGATTCTAGAGTAATGGTGCTGAAGCAGCCTACCCACCTCCGGGCTGAGATGAAGATGAAGAATTTTTGGACATGGTCAGTGTGGGAATTTGCTTTGCTGGATACTTCAATTTTATGATGGTTTTTTCTTATTTTGTATTTTTGTTTTCTATTTTGTTTCCTCCTTGGGGGAGGAGATGAGAGGGAAGGTAGAAATAGGGCTCCCCCCTTTACCTCCAGAAAGAGAACAGAAGGAATCACAGACAAGGTTCAAAATTTACATGTTGAATTTATATATTTAAAAAGAAAAGAATGTTCTTCGTAATAGAGATTCCAAGTTTCATTTTACTTCAGTGCATATGGAAGTGCTCATTTTACTTGCTGTTTGTTATATTTGGATTAAAAATTAAAAATTTAAAAAGTTAGTTACTGGTATATGATTTTGTTGAAATATTATATTGCACTCTAAGAAATGATGAAAGGGGAAGATGCAGAGAAACCTGGGAAGATTTGTATGAACTGATGCAGAGTGAAGTGAGCACAACCAGGAAAACTACACAATGACTAAACCTTATAGAGGAAAACAACTTTGAAAGACGTCAGAACTCTGATCAACCTAATAACCAACTAGGACTCCTCTCAGGCTTATGGTGAAAGAGGTGGGACTCCTGTTGGCAGAAAGTTCAGGTCCTAACCTCGCTCTGTACACTTGTTTGTCCTTTTACTGTGAGCAAATCACTCAGGTTGTCTGAGCCTTACTTTCTTCATCTGTAAAATAGGAATAATAATACTTGTATTAATGATCTCCTGGGGCTGTGGCAAGAAAATGAACTATTAACCTTGAAAGTGTTACATAAATTCCTTTTTCTGTTCCCTTCCTCCATAGGCATGATGGTAAATCAGTTACCTGTTAGAAAAGGCTCCTGGAATTGGTTTCACTGAATTTGTGATCTTTTACATGGATATCTTGAAAAAAAAAATTCTGACTAGGTGAGAACTTACTGCTTTTCGTTTGTTTTTATGTCTTTACTAAAGACTTTAGGTAAATGAATAGCCACATTGGGGTGGGGGGGGAGGTTTACCTTGGGTCAGTGAAAACAAAAGTTTTTTTGGTTTGTTTTTGTTTTTGTTTTGTTTTTACTGCACTGATTGGGTACCTGCTAGAGGCTGGAGGGAAAAAAAAGCTAGTGCTAGAAAATTTTCGACGCTTTTTCACTAAGGTGGTTGGCTCCTGAATTGGAGCTCCTCTGTCTCCTCCTTGCCAGTATCTGTCCTCAGTAGTGATAGTTAACACTGCCAAGCCACACTGCTGAATCCTCCTGTACCTTTCAGATAGAGGTTTTGTCCAAATCCCAAAGACAAGTCCAAGGTTCAAGAATTAGATTCCCAGATTTCTCTCAGTAGAGCTGTGTTTAATACAGGCTTTCAGAAAAACAAAGAATAGAATAAAATGTGGAATATTTTCTTCTTCAATCACGAGGTCACAAGACTTAGGTGAAAACCAGGTTTATTACAAGAGAAATGAACATGCATGTGGAACCCAAAGAATTCACAATCCATGTAGAAGTTTATATATCTATGACAGCAGAATAAAAGAACAAGGAGGAAACAAAACTCCATCTTAAAGGGCAGTGGCATGGGAGGGGGAAAAGTATAGTAAAGGTGGAAAAAGGACAAAATCCCTCCCAAAGGGGAGGAGCAAGATGATGGCAAAAGCTGCAGTCTTTTCCCTTGGGAACTGCTAGACAGACTGTGAAGATGGGATGGTCTGCATATCTACAGGGTCCCAGCTGCACAAGTAAATTTCCCAGCCTGGCATAGCCTGACTTAGCCTATTTTGACTCCCAAGGACACACAGGGAATCCAGCTTGGGGCACAGACAACAAATTCTGTTACTTGGCAGGGGTAGGGGTCCACTTTGTCCATGGCACATTCAGGGTGTGATATAGTTCTAGAGACATAGTTTAATCATTTATTTAATTTAATCATTTTATTAATAAGGCCAGAATGTTTATTAATAAGGATGATCATCTGGCTGTCCCTCTTAGACCAAAGACCCTTCATGGTGGTGGGCTCATAGTTTATATTCTCTTCCAAGAGTAGGTGTTCCTAAGGGGTGACAATAAACTCTGATTGGTCAACAAGTAATAAGAAAATTAATATTACAATGAGAGGCTGGGCTATATTACAGTAAGGGTCTTGGGATACGTGACTTAATCACCCAAATCTTGGTCAAAAAAAACATCAATTTCTGTATCACCTATCTGACAAAAGGGAGAATCAACACTTCCTAGATCTGTCTGAGAAAAACACAATGAGCAGGAATGTATCCATTAGCCCAAACTTAGAATTTCTCTTACTATCTGATTAGGTATTGGCTTGAGTAAATCTTTAAGAGAGATTGCCCACACTGGTTGATTTCTGGATGAGGAAGTAGAAAAAGGGGAAAAACCTTGGTTCTAATACAATAATTAGTCATTAAATAAAAGAGAGAAATACTCATTTCTCACAAGGGCCTCCTGCATGCTCTGGGTCCAGTGTTTCTGGAAAATAGGGCAACTCAAAAAGACAAGTTCAGAGGACCCATTAACAGCCCTAACACCATCGAGTGAGGCAAAGTGGTTTGGTTTGATTTTTTTTTAAAGTGGGCAGAGAGAGAACAATTAAGATTTAGACATACTATAATTATAACACCCATTTACTGAGCATTCACCTTTCAAGGAGCTTAACCCAGTTTTCTGGCTAAAACTCAATTTGAGCATATGTATTGCTGAAGTATACTTATTAGAACAGGAGGTGTGTTTGATTCGTAAGGGAATTTCTGGTCATTTGGCATGGAGTATTAGACTAAATTTTCTATAAAAGATTGAGTATAAAAAACTTGGTACAGAAATAAAGACGAAATTGTAAAAATTTTAGTTAAAAATTTAGTAGAAAATTTGTGTAACAATAGGAACTAAATATTTTGAAATATTAGTATAAAAGTTTGTCATAAAATATAGACTAAATTTTCTGCAAGAAATTTGGTATGAAAATATAGACTAATTTTTTCTGTTAGAAATTTAGTATATAGAAATGTAGACAAACTTTTGTAAAAAATTAGTATAAAAATATAGACTTAGTTTTTTGTAAACAATTTAGTATAAACTATAGATTGAAATTTTGTTATAAATGTAGCATAAAATATAGACTAAATGTTTTGTAAAAAATTTGGTATAAAATTATTTTCTTGTAAATTTTTCATGTAAATTATCTTGTATTTTGTATCTTGTATTAGTATATCTTGTATTAGTATAAAAATGTAGAATGTTTTTATAAACAATTTAGTATAAACATTTGGTATAAAGTATAGATAATTTTTTGTAAAAAATTTAATATAAAATATGACTAAATTTTCTGTAATAATTTAGTATAAAGATATAGATTAGTCTAAAAATTTAGTATAAAATATAGACTTAAATTTTCTGTAAAAAATTTAGTACAAAAAAAGCTTGGATATATAAATACCAAAATAGAAACTCTATTGTCTCAAATGCCTAACTTCGAGAAGGCTCATTCTGTATGAAAGGGAAGAAATGGTTTCCTTGAAGGCAGAATGATTGTAGCTATGGTGACTTTAAGGTTTGCAACAATATTACATTTTAATTCTTTTTTTTCTTCCCTCGATGTAAAGGGCCTGGAGTAATGATTGAGGTGTGACGAGTCAGATGAAGAAAATGGAAGAAGGTGGCTCTTACATTGACACCCTCAGAAGTGTTGCCCCTGTGGCCCATGGCCGGGGAGTAAGATACTCGGAGGCCTGGGAGTATTTTCACCTGCCCTTGGCCCAGTCTGGCCTTCCTGCCAGTCAATATGCCACCTGTAGGCTGTGTGGAAAGCAGGTCAGCCGGGGCCCAGGGTCCAACGTTGGAACCACGGCTCTGTGGAAGCATCTGAAGAGTATGCATAAGCAGGAACTGGAAAAGACCGGGCACCGACAAGCTGGGCCTCGCCCAGAGGCACTGCTTCCTCTTCCACCCTCCCCGCCGCCGGGCGTAGAAGGAGACTGGGGGCGCCTGATGGAGCAAATGGGAGCACTGGCTTTACGGGCGAGCCAGCGGGAGAGAGAACTGGAGAAGAGGGAGAGAGCAGTGGAGAGGAGAGAGAGAGTCCTAGAATTAAGGAAAAGAGCCATTGAAGAGGAGGAGAAGGATTTGTCAGAGAAGAGGCAGGAGCTTCAGGCTGAGAAGGAGGGGCTGCAAGCCCGGCTCCTGGAAGTATGTCAGAGGGAAAATGCTTTGGCCCTGGCCACCGCACCTCTGTCCACCCTGATCAAAGAGGAGCAGGAAGATCATGGTGAGGGCTACTTAATAACCAAAGTCCTTTTCTAGACTGTTGACCTTAAATTATCCTGAGGCAAAGCAGAACCCCCATGCTTTCTCACTGCTGCTTAGATGGTGGTAGACTTGGCGGACATCTTTGAGTTTCAATACCTATGACTGTTTCTGGTGTTGATAATCATGAGTTTATACTTATTGGGGACACACAGAATGTCGGTCTATAGCTCTTCGTAGCCGTCTCCTCACCATGACCCTACCCTCCAGTCATCTCCACTCCCTGGGTCCTTGCCTCAGTGTGGCAGGACCCAGGCCCCTCCATTACACTTCAAAGCCATGTCCTCACCAGGGGTACTGCCTTCCCCTTTCCATCCACCCTTCCACTTTTAGGTATTGTCCTCCCCCTCAATGGGAATGTAAGCTCAATGAGGGCTAGGACACTATACTTCCTTGTTTATATATACACATCCCCAATGCTTAGCACACTGCCTGGTGGATAATAAATGCTTAATCCCTTGGAGGGTACAGTTTTGGAATACAATGGAAATCCTTCATGGAGGCAGTAGCCCACCTGAGATAGAGCTGCTGAACATTAGAACTGAAATGGGAGGGGTGCCCCCCCTTTCTGAGCCCTGAACCCAGAACACCAGAATCAAGTACAAGGCAGGTTCAACCACCTAGACCCCTGAGTGACACTGGAAGTCACTATGCCTAATTACAGATTCTCTTCTCGAATTATGTTCCTATCTACAGATGATCAGATCAGTCCTGAAAAAAGTTGTATGAGCTTTGCTTCTAGATTAGGACAAAGCCAAGGAGATGCAGTCTGTGGACTCTTATCCTCCTTCATGACTCCATTTGGAGTTTTCTTGGCAAGGATACTGGAGTGATTTGTCATGTCCTTCTCCAACTCGTTTTACAGATAAAGAAACTGAGGCAAACAGGGTTAAGTGACTTGCCTAGGATCATACAGCTAGGAAGTATCTGAGGCTAGATTTGAACTCAGGAAGATAAAAGGCAGGGTGGTCCATGAGGTCGCAGAGAGTCGACATTACTGAACAACATTAAATGGCCAAAGACATTTGGGATTTACAAAGACAAAACACCCTGCCTTCTGAGAACATACATTCTACCAGGAAGAAATGAGTTCTTACTCCATAGCTAACCTGTGTTTTTGGTCCCATTCCCTCCCTCATTTTCCAAGAATATAATAATAAATATCTTTTCTTTCTGATATTTCAGTCCTTTCTACTCCCTCCTTCCCTTCCATGTACAAATGCATTCAGTTTGTCTTTATACCAAAGAAAATTCTCAACTCTGATAATTGTTCCAGGCAATAATATACCCCTTTCTTCCATCCTTTCATTGCCAAACGTCTTTTTTTTCCTCCTCAAAACATTCACTTTATTATTTATAATTTTAACATAGTCAGCTAACATCTTGGTCCCACATCTGTGGCAAAGTAATATCCCCCCAGTTATGAAAGTGCATTGTTATGATGGCAAGATTTGCTCCCAAGTATCAGGGTCTGGTATCACAGTTGAATGCTTGTAAGAGAGGATTTCTTCCTCTATGGCTCCAAACTCCAACTCTGGGGAATGCTCTCTCCATTGGGTTACAGAATAAGATAGATGATGTGAGTAGCAACACCACAGTGGTTGTTCCTGTCCTTTGCAATACGCATGTAGCCTTTTTCACCCTACTTCACACCCCAGCTATTTTTAAGAATCCAGAATTTCTTCTCTTCATTTTGGTTTTCTTCCTGTCACTTGGTTTTCATGTCCATATCCAACCATCACTAAAGCATGGTTTGTGTGACGTGGTTTATCTATAGTAGATAAAGGGCTTCCGTGCATTCATTGACACAGACACTAGTCCCACAGTTGCCACAGTCTTCATCAGAATTTCTTCATTTCCAAAGGGGAGGACTACATGTTTTTTGATTTTAACAACTGCACATCCGTTGTTATAAGAGCACTTCTTATTTTTCTTGGCCACATAAGGGTAGCACCTCTCAGAGACTAAGCCCGTATTTTTTTTTTTATATAGATGAAAGCACCAATGGCACTTCCCCCACAACAGCCTTGGAATCTGGAACAGTCAGTTAGGTTCTGTTTACTCAGTTCTACAAGTTTGCCTGTTTTCCAGAAGAGCTGGCCTTCTAGAGATCCAGTTGCATTGAATGCCCAGCAGGAGCCGCACCTCCTCTGATTTCTAACAGGGGTCACATAGCCAAGCTTTCTCCAGTCGATTGATTTGGGAAGATCAGAAAAATTTGAAAAAATCTTGGCTGTGGTGGTATCTGTCCTTATCCTTGCTGGTGACATTTTGGGGTTCAGCATTTCCTTGAATTCTTCATCAGTCATGTCTCCAAGATCATTCATCTCCAGGTAGTAGCTCAGCTTCCCCTCTTTATATAGGAAATTTTGATCATTAATGAACTCCAGGTTCTTCTCCCACATCTGTCTCCTAAAAGATTCCCCCTTCTTCAAATGGTCTCTATGTTCTTGGGAATTCTAAGATGCTTTAATGCAGGAGAGATCACAGGGGTCATCCAATCCAATCTGTACCTCAGTGGGAGTCTTCTCTAAAATGTCTTTGAAGACATGTCTTTCCCTTTGAGGTCCTTGGTCAATTTAATACATGACATGGCCACCTAAGCCACTTAGGGACAGCCCAACTTGGTAGGCGGTTTCTCCTTATTATAGAACCAAGATCTACCCCTTCCAAACTTTTTTCTGAAGGTTGCCTTGTGCAGAAAAGTAAACTAAGTTTGATGGTTTTCCCATGTGGATGTGTACTAGAGGGCTATTATATAGTCATAGGTTTTACTCTTCTTGGTGAAGTCTAGAGGTTTAGGGGTGCTGGGACCCCACGATCATGACACACAGGTCCTGCCTGAAAGAATTCGACCCAAGCCTTCTTTCAGGCGAAGACAAAAGGTTTATTAAAGATCTGCCATATTAGCCAGACTCTTAAGGAATCTGAGCATCTATGAACTATTGGCTAGATTGTAAAAATCAGAGCATGAGTCTAGATTTTAAGAATCTTAGCCCACTGCCAAACTTCTTGAAAGAATATTCTGTATTTTTTTGATGCCTCTACTTCCTGTATTCTAGGATCCCTTGAAAACTAATGTCCGTGCCTTCTGTAACATCTCCCACATATGTCCCCTCTTTTCTATTATGACTGCTGCTACCGTGGGTCTCATCTTTTTTTTCCCCTGCTTGCCTAGCCTATAGCCTCCCAACAGGTCTCTCGGCCTCCAGCCTCTGTACTCTAAGTCATCCGACACATCGCTGTCAGAGAAATGGGTCAAATGCATGGATCATGTCATTTCACTGCCCAAATATTTTAGGGGTTCTTCATTACCTCCTAGACAAAGTCCACAATTGGTGTGCCTGGCCTTGGTGACCCTCTGAAATCTGATCCCAGAATTTTTCAGCCTTATTTCCTGCTACTTCCAACAATGTAAACTTGAAGGGAGGGATTGGTGTTTTTGTATCCCTAGGACCTAGCATGGTGCCTGTTACATAGGAGGTACTAAGTATTGAATGAATGAGTGAAGACTACTCTGCTACATGTAGCCTCTGATTCAGTGAAACTGAACTGTTTACTGTTCATAAAAGAATCCCTTGCTTTTGTAGAAGACAACTCATGTAGACCACTTGGCTGCTTTCCAGGCAATGAGCTTACTAGCTGTGATATTAAATAAGTCCCATCCCTCTGTGGACTTCATTTTCTTTGTAAAATCAGGAGGTTGAACTAATCAGGAGTTCTTAAACCTTTATTTGGTATCATGGACCCCTTTGGCAGTCTGGTGAAGACTATAGACCCCTTTTCAAGATATTGCTTTTAAATACATGGAGTTACAAAGCAAACCAGTTATGTTGAAATACAGTTACCAAAATTTGTCGGGTGGAAAGTTGATGGACCACAAATCAAGAACCCCTGGCTTAGATGATCTCTGAAGCTTCCTTCCACCTTTATATCTTATGATCCTATGACTAGGCCAAGGACCATCCCAGCTAAATGCTGAGAAGTTCTTTTCCAGACTAGCTTGTGATTTGTTTGGTTATAGCAACACATGAGAATTGAATACTATGGGGTGTAAGGGGGGGCCCACCCACACTGATGAAATCAGAGACTTTTTAAGTACTGAAGATGTAATAGGACTGAAATTATTTAGGGGAGATTTTAATTAGATATAAACCTGACAGTTTTTCCAAAATTGCTTCCATATGTCAATAATGAATTATAAATAAATCAATAATAAAGTTTTAAAACTATTATAAATAAATCCAAGAAAATGTAATAAATTATAAACATTTTCTGCCTTTCCATTTTACTGTTCTTTCCCACTGATGAAGGAATGTTGACATTTATTTAAAGTCCATACAATCTACCTTTCCAGTCTTATTACACATTATTGCCCTCCCAGTACTTTACACACCAGCCTCCTGGCTGTTTCCCCACATGCACGTTGCTTCTGTTTTCTTGCCTTCACACAAGCTGTTCCTCAGGCTTGGAATGTATTCTGTCCTCATCTCTGCATTACAGAGTCTCTAGTTTTCTTCTGATCTCAGTTTAAGAGCCACTGCTTAAATGAAGCCATCTCTTATTCTCCTCCCCCGTGGTGTCTGTGTTTCCCCTCCTGAAATTGTCTTGTATTGTTTTGGATTGGGGAAGGAGGTGGAGCATCCCCAGATCCATCGTACCTGGGTTCTGGATGACTATGTGGAAGCTTTGGGGGCGGGGGTGTCTTCCTTCTAGCCATTGTGATTGACTGCTGAGGACTTGGCTTTGAAATATCAAGGAAACCCCTTTGTGGCTCTTCAGAAGAGCTGATGACTCAGGATGCATGAAAGGGAGCAACCTACGCCTTCGTCTCTTCATCTCTTTCTTTCTACCCAATGATTGCATTGAGACTGTCAGTTGTCAGTCCATGGCCACTAAAAAGCACATCAGGCTAGGCTAGCCTGAGGCTTGTGTTTGGTTGCTTTCTTAGTGTTTATTTGTTTCTGATCTTAGACAAATACGTATCCCAGGTGGATATATCCAGGTCTGGAGGCAACGTTGTGAAACTGAGAGGTCCAGAGGCCTTGGGTGCAATCAGGTTAGATCCATTGACTTGTGGAAAGGGAAGCATCTTCATCAGAGAGATCAGCCGTGCAAAAAAGAGTTTGCCTTAGTCTGACAGTTTTACCAGCAGAAGTACAGGAAGTTGTATATACAGTGCAGAGTTGAGGTGAAATGTCAAGTGCCTTTATTAGCACAACTACAAACTGCTGTTCTGATGAGGTTTACATCGTTGCCTTCCCAGCAAGTAGGAATAGTAGTTATAAGTTGTTACAGAATCCTGTTTTTTAAGTTTGGTTCTGTATATAAGGCGCTGTAACAAGTCTTTTATGTTTAACGTGCCTCATTTGTATATATGAGTAAACTAACTCATCCCTAATTTGTATTATACATTAAGTACCTTTCTAAGAACCTAGATGTGAGCCATAATCTAATTTACTCTACAGAAAATAATGTGCCAGGGCACAGGGGTGGTAGTCTTAATGAGCTATCTTGGACATATTGCATGCCTGGGTGTGAAAGTACAGGATATATGGACTGGGCACGTTACTCTAGTCCATATGCCCTTTCAAGGTAGATGCATATATTTTGTATATACTTATATGTGTACATGTTTCCTTCTATAGAACATAAGCTCATTGAGAACAAAGATGTTTCATTTTTGGTTTTGTTTATGTAGAAGGCAGGAAATTTGCAAAAGACTTTATATGAAGGCCTACATGTAGATGAGGAGTTCCATGTACCATCCTCTTGTTCCACTATATATGGAAATACTATTTTAGAAAAAGGAAAGAAAGGAAGGCCATTGAATCAACTTTTGATTAAAATGCAGAGAA